TAAAAATAGGTCAACACCCCAACATATACTAGTGGGGCTTGAAAATTTCAGAGATAAAGAGAAAATCCTGAAAGCAGCTTGAGATAAAGCTTAACCTGCAAATGTAGAAACATAAGCCAGGCAACAGACCTATCCACAGAGACCTGGCAGGCCAGAAAGGACAAGGTGCTAAATGAGAAAATATGCGGTCAAGAATACTTTATCCAGCAAGATTGTTATTCAGAATGGAAGGCAAGATAAAGAGCTTCTAGGACAAACAGAAGAGAAAAGAATGTGTGATCACTAAACCAACCCTGCAAGAAATATTAAAGGGGATCATTTGAGTGAAGAGAGAGTATAAAAGTAACAAAGATCAGAAAGGAACAGAGACAACCTATAGAAACAGTGACTTTAAAGATAATACAGTGGGGCACCTGGGTGGCTCAGTGGGTTAAGCCGCTGCCTTCGGCTCAGGTCATGATCTCAGGGTCCTGGGATCAAGTCCCGCATCGGGCTCTCTGCTCAGCAGGGAGCCTGCTTCCCTCTCTCTCTCTCTGCCTGCCTCTCTGTCTACTTGTGATCTCTCTCTGTCAAATAAATAAATAAAATATTAAAAAAAAAAAAGATAATACAGTGGCAAGAAATTTATATCTTTCAATAATTCCTCTGGATGGAAATGGACTAAAAGCTCCAATTGAAAGACAACAGATATCAGATTGGATTTAAAAAAAAAAAATCAATAGGCGGTATACAAGAGACTCATTTTAGACCCAAAGATTGAAAGGGGGTGGGGATAACCATTTATCATGCTAATGGACATCAAAAGAAAGCTAGGGTAGCAATCCTTATATCAGACAAATTAGATTTTAAACCAAAGACTGTAATAAGAAATGAAGAGGGACACTATATTATAATTAAAGGGTCTATCCAACAATAAGATCTAACAATTGTAAATATTTATGCCCCTAACTTGGGAGCAGCCAATTAACTAATAACAAAATTAAAGAAACACACTGATAGTAATACAATAGTAGTAGGGGACTTTAACACTCCACTAACAGCAATGGACAGATCATCTAAGCAGAAGATCAACAATGAAACAAGGGCTTTGAATGACACACTGGACCAGATAGACTTCACAGATATATTCAGAACATTGCATCCTAAAACAACAGAATACACATTCTTCTTGAGTGCACATGGAACATTCTCCAGAATAGACCACATACTGGCTCACAAATCAGGTCTCAACTAATACCAAAAGATGAGGATATTCCCTGCATATTCTCAGACCATGATGCTTTAAAACTTGGAACTCATTCACAAGAGAAAATTTGGAAGGAACACAAATACATGGAGGTTAAAGAGCATCCTACTAAAGAATAAATGGATCAACCAGAAAATTAAAGAAAATTTTTAAAATTTTCATGGAAGCAAATAAAAATTAAAACACAAAATTTCAGAACCTTTGGGAGGCAGCAAAGGTGGTCCTAGGAAGGCAGTATATAGTAATATAGGCCTTTCTCAAGAACAAGAAAAGGCTCAAATATACAAGCTAATCTTATACCTAAAGGAGCAGTAAAAAAGCACAGCAAATAAAGGCTAAACACAGCAACAGAAGAGAAATAATAAAGATTAGAGCAGAAACCAATTAAATAGCAGAAACCAATTAAAATTTAAAAAAAAATAAAAGAAGAACAGTAGAACAGATCAATGAAACTAGGAGCAAGTTCTTTGAAAGAATTAATAAGAACGATAAACCCCTAGCCAAACTTACCAAAAAGAAAAGAGAAAGGATATAAATTAGTAAAATTACAAATGAAAGAGGAGAGATCACAACACCGAAGAAATATAATTATACAAATATATTACATCAACTATATGCAAAAAAATTAGGCAATCTGGAAAAAATGGATACATTCCTAGAACATATGAACTACCAAAATTGAATGAGGAAGAAATAGAAAAACTGAACAGACCCATAACCACTAAGGAAACTGAAGCAATAATCAAAAATCAAGAGTCTAGAGCTGGATGGCTTCCCAAGAAAATTCTACCAAACATTTAAAGAATTAATATGTATTCTTCTGAAGCTGTTTCAAGAAACAGAAACAGAAGGAAAACTTCCAAACTCATTCTATGTGGCCAGAATTACTTTGATCCCAAAACCAGAAAAAAACCACCAAAAAGGAGAATTACAGATCAATATCCCTGACGAACATGGATGCCAAAATTCTCACCAAGATACTAGTCAATAGGATCCAACAGTGCCTTAAAAGGATTATTCACCACAACCAAATGAGATTTATTCCTGGGCTGCAAGGATGGTTCAATATTCACAAATCAATCAATTTGATATCCTACATTAATAAAAGAAAGGACAAGAACCATATGATCCTCTCAATAGATGCAGAAAAACTATTTGACAAAACACAGCATCCTTTCTTGATTTAAAACTCTTCACAGTATAGGGATAGAGGGAACATACCTCAATATCATAGAAGCCATATATGAAAAGCCCACAGCGAATATCATTCTCAATAGGAAACAGAACTATTCCCCTAAGGTCAGGAACCCACTTTCACCACTGTTGTTCAACATAGTACTAGAAGTCCTAGCCTAAGCAATCAAAGAAAAAGAAATAAATCAGCATCCGAATTGGCAAAGAACTCAAACTTTCACTCCTCACAGATGACATGATAATCTTCATAGGAAACACAAAAGACTTCAACCCCAAAATTGCTAGAACTCATCAGGAATTTATCAAAGTTACAAGACATAAAATCAATGCACAGAAATCAGTTGCATTCCTATACACTAACAAGGAAACAGAAGAAAGAGAAATTAAGGAAATGATCCCATTTACAATGGCACCAAATACCGTAAGATACCTAGGAATAAACCTAATCAAAGAGGTAAATGATCTGTTACCCAAAAGCTAGAGAACACTTATGAAAGAATTGAGGAAGACATAAAGAAATGGAAAAACTGTCCATGCTCACAGATTGGAAGAACAAATATTGTGAAAATGTCTATAAAGCAATCTATACATTCAATGCAATCCATATCAAAATACCATCAACATTTTTCACAGAGCTGCAACAAATAATCCTAAAATTTGTACAGAACCAGAAAAGACCCCAAATAGCCAAAGGAATGTTGAAAAAGAAAATCAAAGCTATGGCATCACAATTCTGGACTTTAAGCTCTATCACAAAATTGTAATCATCAAGATAGTATGGTACTGGCATAAAAACAGACACATAGATCAAAGGAACAGAATAGAGAACCCAGAAATGAACCTTCAACTCTATGGTCAGCTAATCTTTGACAAAGCAGGAAAGAATGTCCAATGGAAAAAAGACAGTCTTTTCAACAAACAGTGTTGGGAAAATTGGACATCCACTTGCAGGAGAATGAAACCGGATCAATTTCTTACGCCAAACATAAAAATAAACTCAAAATGGATGAAAGACCTAAATGTGAGACAGGACTCCATCAAAATCCTTGAGGAGAATACAGGCAGCAACATCTCTGACCTTGGCCACAGCAACTTCTTGCTAGACAGGTTTCCAAAGGCAAGGGAAACAAAAGCAAAAATGAACTATTGGGACTTCATCAAGATAAAAATCTTTTGCATAGCAAAGGAAACAGCCAATAAAACTAAAAGACAACCAAGAGAATGGGAGAAGATATTTGCAAATGACATATCAGATAAAGGGCTGGTATCCAAAATCTATAAAGAACTTATCAAACTCAACACCTAAAGAACAAGGAATCTAGTCAAGAAATGGGCAGAGGACACGAACAGACATTTCTCCAAACATGTCAGACAGACAGATGGTCAATAGACACATGAAGAAATGCTCAATATCACTCAGCAACAGGAAAATACAAACCAAAACCACAATGAGATACCACCTCACATTGGTCAGAATGGCTAAAATGAACAAGTCAGGAAACAAGAAATGGTGAGATGTGGAGAAAGGGGACCCCTTTTACACTGCTGGTGGGCATGCAAGCAGGTACAGAGACTCTGAAAAACAGCATGGAGATTTCTCAAAAAGTTAAAAATAGAGCTACCCAACAACCCAGCAATTGCACTATTAGGGATTTATCCTAAAGATACAAATGTAGTGACCTGAAGGGGCACCTACACCCTTAATGTTTATAGCAGCAATGTCCACAATAGCCAAACTATGGAAAGAGCACAGATGTCCATCGACAGGTGAATGACTAAAGAAATGTGGTATATATATACATACATATGTGTATGTATGTGTACACACACACACACACACACACACATATATTCTTTATTCTTTATTCATATATATATATATATAAACATATATATATATATATATATATGCTGGAATATTATGCAGCCATTAAAAATTAAAATCTTGCCATTTGCAATGATGTGGATGAAACTAGAGAGTATTATGCTAAATGAAATAAGTCAATCAGAGAAAGAAAATTATCATATGATTTCATTCATATGTAGAATTTAAGAAACAAAACAGAGGATCATAGGGGAAGGGAGGGAAAAATAAAAGAAGGTGAAATCAGAGAGGGAGACAAAATAATGATAGAAAATTAAACTGAAGTTTGCTAGAGGGGATAGGGGTGGTGAGATGGGGTAACTGGGTGATGGCCATTAAGGAGGGTATTTGATGTAATGAGTACTGTGTGTTAACATGCAACTAATGAATCACTAACCTCTACCTCTGAAACTAATAACATACGATATGTAAATTAATCGAATTTAAATAAAACAAAATTAAAGACTACCTTCTTTCCACTGAATTCAAATTAGTTAGGTGTTGTGTTCATATTCATGATCTCATCTAAATCAGTCTGCTATAAATTATAGCCAAATACAAAACTAAATGCAGTAAAAAAAAATTCCATATTTTAACAGATCATTATAGAAATTCAACCATTTTATTGGGATTCCTATATAACTAAATAGTAAAATGTTAAAAGTTAACAATAATAAAAGGTAACTTAGAACTTACCCTGAATCACAGAAACAGTTCCATAGTCCTTGGCCATGACTCCAGAGTAGGCGATTAAAAACCCGGTTGAAAATCCGATATAAACTTACTTCCTCAACATCAGGTACCTTCCAAATACGTGGAAGAATTGTACGAATACTTGTTTTTACTATGTCCAAAACCTAGTGGAAAAACCAAAGTTATTTCAAAATCTAAGCATGTAAGTGTGTGTCTAAAATTCGAAGATGAATATATATAATTCAAAGACAAATTCATACACACACTTATACACATTCATTCACTGGACAACAGCACAGAGTAAAAATCCCAGAAATAGGTCCATGCATTTGTGAAACTCTAGTGTATGATGTAGGTGGCAAGTCAGACCATTGGTATAAGAAGAGATTAAGTTTAAAATTTAAACCTCAATTAAATCTAAATTAAATCAATAAATGGAGACTGAAAAATAGCAAGTTTTACTAAGAAAGTAAAGTTGAATCCTCACTCAACTAACAAAAATCAACTCTAGAGGGATTAGGACCTTAGGCTTAAAAAATGAATCATTAAATATATTACTGAAAATTCACTATTGGTGAATATCTTTTCATTTTTAGGTTAGAAAAAGGTTACTTTAAGTCATAAAAAAAGTATAGACCATCAAATATTAATAAGTTGATTATACTAAAGTTAAGAACTTCTGGACATCAAAAGATACCTTAAGGAAAATAAAAGATCAAGTTACAAACTCGGAAAATATATTTAAAACATATACCTCCAACAAAAGATTAATATCAGAATTACATAAGAATTGGAAGCAGATAAAAGAATTATTTAATTTGTCTCTCTTTAAAACAGCCACAGTTTAAAAAGTGATATTCCTTATTTCTGATAAGGCACATGTAGAATAAACATCCGTCAAGTTAATTCAGTAAAAAGTTTTCAAAATATTTTATTTTGAGAAGAATGTCAACTTCAGCTTCTCATGAGAAATGGCGTGAGCAGCCTCAGGCTTTCCCTTCCCATTCCCGCTTCCTTCCCCATGAAGTGGGAACAGTACTGCAACCCCCACAGCGGGTCAGGGGCATGTCAGATGAGGGGGCGGCGAATAAGGAGAGAGAATTCAATCTGCAATAAAGTCACTTGGGAAAAGCTTGTTACTACAGATAACAAATGTTTAAGAAGGATTTATTTTTGAAACTTTACTATGAATTACTCACAAGAATACTGCTATGTCCATTGGGCATGAATGCATACCTTTATATTTTTTACAATTTTCATTTAATCTATTAGTTTAACTCTATATTTTTTTAAGGTGGAAAGAAGTACTCATGATTGATGTGGTAGAAGTGTCCACACTAGCAGTAAATGATACATTTAAGTCATTTCTCTATTTTCCTTCCTACTTTCTTTAAAGATTTTGTTTATTTTTTTTATTTGACATACAGAGATCACAAGTAGGCAGAGAGAGGCAGGCAGAGAGAGAGAGGGAGAAGCAGGCTCCCCGCTGAGCAGAGAGCCTGATACGGGGCTTGATTCCAGGACCTTGAGATCATGACCTGAGCCGAAGGCAGAGGCTTAGTCCACTGAGCCACCCAGGCGCCCCTCCTTCCTACTTTCTATGTGAGTAATAACAGGCTAAAAGTTGTAATGCAGGAAAAAATGTAAAAAGTAGCCATGTTTACATTAATTTCATATTATACTATTTTTTTAAGATTTGTTAATTTATTTTACAGAGGGGAAAAGGACAGAGGGAGAAGGAGAAGAGCAGACTCCCCGCTGAGGGCAGAGCCCCAGAGCTCCATCTCATGACCCTGGGATCATGACCTGAGCCAAAATCAAGAGTCTGCCACTCAAAGGACTGAGCCACCCAGGTGCCCCTTTCATACTCTATTATTAAATAATTATTCAACTTTATAGCATTTGAGATTATAGATTACTTATTTCTTTTTTAATACATTTTATGGTAAAATACATGTGATGCATAAGAACCAAAGAGAAGGGCGGCTAACATGTATGGCCTGCCTGCTCTATACGAAGCACTTCATGGACACCTCTTGGCCACTACTCTGTACGTGCTTTATTCTCACTTTAGAGGGAATTTTAAAACCATGATGGTCTAATGTTCTCACCCACACATGACAAAAAGCAACTTCTGAAAGTGGCCAGGGAGTTAGGGGTGAAGAATGTTTCTGCTCTACTCCTGATATTTCCTCCAACATGGAGAGATGAATAAAATATTCTAGGCTTCTTGCAACACGAGCATCTCTGCCTGAGTGGTTTCTCAGAATCATGAGACTAGTATGACCTAGGCAATACAGGAACTTGCCCCTGTTTCTCCTGAGCCGCTTATGGGGAACATACATTCTCCTTTGCTTCTCTTTGCCTTCAGTTTTAAAGGAGGCAAGCTCCCTGGTCCTGGAGAAAGGAATGGGTTAGAGAGACCTATAATTTGGAGGGCATGAGGGCATGCAAACCAAGGGTACAAGAACCTGACTCCCTCATCTCCACTCTGAGCATTCACATACACTCCTGCCTCTGCTTGGGACAGTCTCCCCTTACCTATTCACCTGGTGAATGTATACAGGGAGACCTTTACCTGCCACTGACCTATGATCCCTTCATCCCCCATTCTTCCCCTATTAATAATTATCTTGCTTTATTTTCATTTCCTGTTTAGTTAATACAGACCATTATCCACATAAAGAGAAGCATTATGCTCATCTTGGAGAAAAAAAGACTTATCACATCCCCGAGGCTCAGCAGGTGTTTATCTTAGTGAAACTATTCTTCAAAGCAAAGTGAAATCTATGCAGACAAGGTAAAAATCAGAGCTAACACTTATTGAGGGCTTACTATGGACCTCGCTGTGGACCAGGGATTGTTCTAAACACTTTTACATATAGCAATTCATTTAGTCCTCAAAACAAAAACATAAGGTAGACACAAATTGGTCCACGGTCCCTTTTCAAAACATCTTGAGGCTAGATTCCATAATCATGCATATTACTATTGCTTCAGGAAAATATGTGAACATGCAAACCAGGAGACAAGACAAAAATAATACATAACTTCCTGTCAGGTCATTGTCACCAATGGAATTCAGGTAAGTTAGGTTGTGTTGCCTAATGGTTGTGAAAATTTTTTGTTTTGAGGACATTTTGGGGTCTCATTTTATGGATGAGAACGCTCAGGAATGGAGCAGATAAGTAATTTTGCCAAGATTGCACAGCTGGTAAGTGGACAGCAGTATAGAGAGATCTCTCCTCCTAAGCACTACTCAGCAACTCAAAATTACTTCACAATTACTTCATTCTAACCAGATGTCAACAACAAATCCTAGAAAAGAATCAAATTGTCACTTCTTGGATTCAGATTTGCCTCTAGTCAAATAACACTTGGGAAAATGGGTGGGGTCATTGTGTACAGAGAAGACTGCCCGGGCACCCCCTCCATCAGGGCCAGGGCAAAGGGTCTAATCTGCTTAAAAGGCTATACAGATAGGGAGACACTGACTGCACCTTTAGCAAAACATCCACTGAATAATTTTAGCAAGGCAGAGAGCAGACAGGCAAGAAATCAGACTGGAAAGAGGTAAACTAATGCTAGCTCATGAGTAATGCTATTTTGGATAACTAGGTGCTTTGGGGTTAGAACAAAAAGGATAGAAGATGACTAATTTGCAAAACATGAAAACAAATGGCCAGCAAGGTGACCTTTGTGTTTATCTGTGGACTCAAGTGAGGCTAAGTTGTAGAATACAGGTATCCTTTCCTGACATTGTGACTTTTAAAAGCATCCGGATCCAACATTAAGCTCTCCAAGGGAAAAAAATAAATGGGAGATTCAGTCAATGAAAACATTAATAAAATGGAAAGATTTGTCTTTTCCATATGAAATATAGCACATGTGAAGGCATGAAGTACACAGATTCATATTTTGCAAGAACACACAGATGTTGAGTGACAAACTGCCCCATATGGCTGAACAGTTGGTTCTAAATTAAAATAATGGCATGAGGTGAGGGAGGTTTAGAAATAACATTAAAATCACTACATGCTGTAGTAATGGTGCATGCAGTAGCCATGGCTATAGGGTAAAGGCATTTGTGCTGATGCAAAACGAACCACTCTGTACAGCATCGATGTCAGCCCAAATGAAAAAGAGATGGAAAATAATAACATCAAAATGCATGCAGAAGCAACTACACTGGGTATTAAAAAGAAATTGCTATTTAGAGAAGAAACACTTGATCAACAAAGATCTTTTAGAACCCCCACATAAATGCAAATATAGTATAAGCTTAATATCACTATATATTTTCTCTTCATCCTCCAATCTTAGTTTATGCCTAGATATCACATCAGAGAATAAGCTTTTCAGCAAATCTGGCATTCTTCACAGCGCACCAACACTGCAATATTTTCATACTTAACATATATTCCTTATAAATTATATAAAGCAACTGCATTCTTGGCAGAAAGCTAAATTATGCAACTGTGGAGTTACCACAACATGATGTTAAATAAGATTAGCTGTTTCCATTTCCACCTGGTGAGGATTCTTTTCAGTATTTAATTCCCTCATCCTTGACCTTTAAAGTTTACATCCATTAAGGAAAATCTGAAATAAGGCACGTGAAAGAGTTTGTGTTTGTGGGTTCTAATCTTAGAGTTTTATAACATTTTAATGAGCAACCAGCAAATGCTTTGATCCTGGAACAGAAAAAGGGAGATACATATTTCAACAATGGTCCATAAATGGAAAAAAGATTTCAGTGAGAGTTTTGGGCATTCTACACCTAGAATAGTGCTTGGGACATGGTGGTCCCCCAATCAATATTGTTGAATGCATGTTAGAATGAGCAAGTAACTAAATGAATGAGTGAACAACTCCCCAAATCTCCAATGTGCTTAGCATAGTTCTTATACAAAATGGCAACCAATAAATGTTTGTCAACTTAAATCATATTACATACAGCCTTTGTGGAATGCCATTGGACTCACCTTGCTTTCAAGAGTGCAGTTAACTGACAGCTTCCCCGTTCAGGAGCCACTGCCACATTCAAGCTTATGCTCTCCTCTGCTCCCAACCAAAGGATTGAGCATGGATGGGAGAACCATAGAGGGGTCATTTTCATCTAGCAAGGTCCCTCTACAGGCAACCTTTGTTCTGGCTCCCCATC